ATTTTTTAATCAATTTAATTTTTTTTCCACCTAACTTTATTGCTATCACACAGGAGAAAACCATCCCCTGTGTGATAGCAATTGGAGGTGACAGGTTCTCTTTATTAACCCTGTCACCTCCAATACAGGAGTTCTAGCACAGCACTGTGCTGGAACTCCTGTGACAGGAGAGAGAGGAAGAGCACAGCTCTCCCCTCTCACAGTCTACACGGAGCGGCAGGGTTACTTTTGAACCCTGCCGCTCTGCTCACTGCAGTGAGAGACTCGGTGGCGGAGGATGGAACCAGAGGAGAGAGGTAAGTGCAGGGGGGGAGGCTGCACACTGTTTACATGTGAACTCGGCGACATCGCCGAGTTCACATGTAAACGAAAAATCGTCTGCCTCACTCTACATTTAGTCCTGCTTGTGCAAAGCAGGACTGAATGTAGAGAGGGCAACTTCACCACAAGGACAGCGCTGCCGCCCCTCTGCGCCCTGCCGCCCGAGGCCGGGCCTCGGTGGCAAATCCGGGCCTGACAACACGGATGGCGCCGTGTCAGATACAGTCCATAATAGAAGTCACCAACACTCGATGATATGTGCACTTTTTATTAAATTGTCACATGCGTCATACAGCCAATGTTGCCTTATTCTGGGCGACATAGTAACTATGTCGCTAGGTCGCCCGGAAGAAGGGACCCTGCGTGGCCCTGAAATGTTGGCTGTATGGCGCATGTGATTTAATAAAAAGTGCTTTACTTCTTGCACATATCGAGTGCTGGTGACTATTTTAGATTGTAAGCTCTCACGGACAGGGCACTCCTTTACCATATTGTCTTGTAACTGTAATGTCTTCTTTGTATTGTAAAGCGCTGCACAAACTGGTGGTGCTGTATACATCCTGAATAATATTCATAATATATTTAAAAATGCCCTGCTCCAAACCCTTTTGGAAACTCCAAATTGCAGCTAACTACCTTTTCAATATATTGCATGTCTCCCACCTCCCTTGAGACCCCCAGAAATTCTAGCAATTTATTGTCACCCCACTTTCCATTACTACTGTCACTTTCACACCGCCTGTTCCCCCAGGTTTAGACAGCCCTAAAATGTTGAAATGTTACCAATACGGAAGTAGCATATAAACTGATAATGTTGTGGTCCATGGTCCCTGCCAGGCTCTACCTAACACGTTTTTCCAAGGCTGCACAACAGTAGGAGACGTACTACATATATAGCGGACTTGCCCCATAGCTGCAACCTTTTACACATCATTTTCAAGCTCCTGAAATACCTTTTCACCATTTATTTATGCAAAAACTACTGGGCAGCTTTGATACATGATGCCCTTGTGCCTCTGCCTAAGCCTCAAAAATCAACTCATCAAATACTACTTTGCTACCAAATTAGGTTGCCAGAATTGGAAGAAACAATCCATTCTATTTATCGAAGATTTAGCAACAGATCAATACCATACTGATGAATGAGAAACTAATGAGCATATTTGTTAATCATCATATATTCCTGCAAGTCTGGGAAGCAGATAGCGCCAGCGTGTGTGATATCTGTGAAACTAATGATGCATTGTACTGGGTGTTACCTGAGGATGGAGGCAATGCAGCCCCCTATTTTTGAGTAAGAGCTTAACCCTGCTGGATGAACTTGGCTGGCCCAATGAGTCCTGGACTACGCCCTCTGCTCTTTTTCCGGTTTCTTTTTTAATACCCTGTCCTTTTTTATTTTTTCATCTTGGAAAATGTTACACAGGGCCTTCATGAGATCAACAGTAGCTGTTGTCTCCTTCCTTCACCACAACCAGCCTTGACCCTTTCAATATCTAAGGTGACATTTGCACAAGACAGACCTTGTGATTTTCAACCTTTTTCCCAAGTTTTTGTACTCCTGCATAAACCTAATAAAAATATTGAAACCGAAAAAATAAAGAGCCTTAATCTTGTGTTTAAACAGTCTAAAGTCTTGTCTAGTTTTAACAGTTATTTGTTGTACTGTTGCTTAGTTACATAGGTTCTGATGCCGCCTCTGGTAAAGAAATGAGTGATGGATATGAGGGCATACATGGCAGTAAACAGGATGGAAAACCAGCTAAGAAACATCATCGGAGGTCATCGCGCACTCGCTCTCGCCAGGAAAAGACCAATAAGCCTAAACTAACCATTCTTAATGTAAGCTGAGGACCATTTTTTTAGATGAACATTTGTATGCAGATGGCATTACGGTTTGATGTTACATGGGCATTTTCTGCAGGTGTGCAACACTGGAGACAAGATGGTAGAATGCCAGCTAGAAACGCATAACCACAAAATGGTTACCTTTAAATTTGACTTGGATGGCGATGCACCAGAGGAGATTGCTACATACATGGTAAGGCAAGAAAGAGGTGAGGGGGCTGTCAGGCTAATATTCATCCAGCGTTTTGCATTATTTGTGAAACCTTTTGTATGTGGTAGTCTCCAGAGAATATGAATGACTGTTAAAGGGAGCAACTATTGGGGTCTTTTGTGATATGTGCTTTACCTCCTATTAGCAGATTTAATCTCAAACAAAAGAGCCATCTGTGCTGCTCCTAGCAGTTCTTACATTCCAGCTGTTATATACAGTGTACAGGATGCAAATGGAAGCAAAAGGCTTGACTGACTTGCATGAGACTTTTTAGAGGTTTTTGTAATCTTTTAGAGTTGTAAGTAATGCCTTTTTGTCAGGCACGTTGCACATAGAAGTCACATATAGAACAGAGCTCCACGATTGACTAGAACTGCCCATCCAGCCTTGTAGAAAGAGTTGGGGTTTTGCCTCCTGAATATGTACGCAGTGATCACTGGTGCAGAAGCATTGGTGCAAAGCTTTTGGCACACAAAATTTGTCTATATATTTCCCCCATGTGTATTTTGCAAAGATTTTTAGCAAGTATACCTAGCCATGCTCAAATAACAGACCATATTTGTGTAAGGCTGTCATATGGCTGTGCCTAGGGCAGTATAGTATAAAGAGGCTGCATTAAATGGCATTTTTTTTTCTATATGAACACCCTTGGACACTTGTGTGTAAATTACCAGCAGATCTGTGTTGCCTAGAGGAGTGACAGAACCCTATAGGGCAGCTGTAGCCAAACTCCAGCCCTTCAGCTGTGGTGAAACTACAAATCCCATGAATGCATCTCTCTCCGGGAGTCATGTCTGTCACTGAGAGAATCTTGCAATGCCTTATGGGATTTGTAGTTCCACCACCGCTGGAGGGCCGGAGTTTGGCTACCCCTGCTATAGGGCAATGGTATATAGCCAGCTCTTCTTTAATTGGTAGGAGCTTTATATGTAAAGTATTCTACTCTACATATGCAAGCCCTGTTTTTAAAGGTGAACTTCAGGCAGTTATAAAAGAACATACCTTGAATTGATGTATTACCGAACTACCTTTTTATTATGTAAGCACGAGTCTGTTGTAATTACCTGAACAAAAGATCTCAGACTGGGAGAGGGAGAAGCAGCATAAGGGGCCAGTCAATTGGACTGCAGTACCGTTGTTCTAACATTTGATGGGAGGAGTGACTAGCTAATCAGTCTGCTGCTTCTCCTTTTACTAACTAGTCACAGACTGGGGGAGGGACAAGACCTGTGAGTGTACCCTAACTGCAGCAGGGAAAAATCAGGTCTCCTGCCCTGCTAGACAGCCCTGTGCTATGCAAGACAGCTGTGTAAATCTCAAAACTGGCTGGATAGAAATAGAGATTCTTTTGTAGGTATAACATTACCATATATGTATTTCATCTGTTTATATAGAGGTTTGCATGGAATTCTGCCTAAAACATCACTTCTTTAAACGTGTGACATGGTGAGGAATGGAGTCCTTATAAAAGGGTGCATCAATAAAGTGTGCATAGGTCAGCATGAATTCTAAATATAATCCTGTCTGGTTACATCACTAGCAAGAACCTGAGCTCAGTATTACCATCTATGCATGTTCACATCAGTCAAGCGCTTTCTGTCTATTGTATTCCCTCTTTACATTAGCTTTGTCAGCATTCTGATGTCCTTTGGAGTGTCTTACAATGGGCTAATGTGGTTATTTGAAGAAGCCACAATATGAATGACTGAAATTAACATTTCTTTAAAAGAGTCTGTCTTCCCATTAGGATTACTC